CTTGTTTTAATTCCTTTTTCATTTTGTTTTTAAGTCAGTGGGTGTTCATTTTATCTCCACTCATATTGTCGGTGTGTAGCTTCAATATTGCAACTCTGATATGTTGCATACTGATGCATACGTTGTTATTGCAACATTAGCTTTTGTTACATTGTGTAGCCCTAGTTTAGTTAAAAATTTATAGTAGTTATGATAAATCTCTAGGAACAGTTATATATTTTTTTCAGTGATGGTGCAGTTTCACAGTCCTGAGCTCTTAATTGTCCACAAAAAGACAAGCGTGATGATGTGAGGACAAGGACAGCCAGTGGTGTATAGTAAAAAAGTACTTTCCAATTGTTACGGGAATTAAGGATTTTTTCATAACTTTTACTTGCATTTTGTTACATTCAAAACATAAAAAATATACTTTTACTTCTTTACTTTAAGTTAATGTCTACATGCTACAAATTTTAATATGACCAGAACTCAACATAAACGTGTTGTTTATGCACTCTAAGTGTTGAATTTACTTAACCAAGTTACATCAGCTGGTTCCACTAAACTGAGTTAAGTAAATGTTAAGCATTTTATTCAACTCTAGAGTGGGCCGATCAGGTGAACCAGGAAACAGGCGTGGGCTGTGGGGTTGTAACTGTGAGCTCAGCCATGGACATGGAGGAAGTGCTGGACAAACTGGCAAAAAGTATTTAATAACTAGGCAGAGATTGAAGAGTGCTTATATGGAGCAKAAAACAGGTGAGACTCATGAATGTGATTGCAGCAGAGAACAGGTGTGGCAGAGCGGCACTGAGCAGAGACAGGGCAGGTAGGCATGGCAGGTGACATGCAAAAAATGTGACGGTTTATGCACTCTAAAAAATGAAGTGTTGAATTTAATGAACCAAACTGGTTTCACTAAACCGAGTTGAGAAAGTGTAAACAAACATACACATTTTCTTTGAAGGAAATAGTGTAAATTGCTCAGTTTACTTAACCCGGTTTAGTGAAACCAGTTTGTTTCATTTCTTAGAGTGTGTGTAGGAGTCCTTTTACTTTCATGATTARTGTGAGCAGTTTTATGACTTTTAAGTACTTTTCTTTATCAGAGGGATTCGTTTTTTTATACCAAAATCATTTTCTGTTTCTTTTACTTTTACTAAAGTTATTAGTACTTTGTACACCTCTGGTTWAAACTTTCCTTGTGGTTTTGTTCAATTTCAAGAGATTCTGCTGATAAAAGCAAAAACAGTAAGTGTTTAAAAAAGAAATATTTCTGTTTCACATTTTTTCTTATGTTACTGTATTG